GCGAAAAAAGTATTGTAAGGGATTAAAAGCGGAGATGAAAGGTTGTATAAAAGTATCGTCATTGTTTAATTGAAACAAAGAAACTTTTTTAGGTTATAATCTAAATATATTTCCTTTATTTGGTCAATTTCATTATACCACGCTGACGAAGTCGCGGACACACCTAATATACATATAAGGATGGGACCTTTAAATCAAAACAAAGCCTTGAAAACACAACTATTATATATAAATAAAATAATTATTTGCTAAGTATAATATTTAGAACAAGTGAATATGGCAATAATGTATCCGACTCTTATAATAAATTATATTGTATCTATTAATAAATAAACTGAATTAATATGTAAGAAGAATTAATTAGTAAATTTATGTTATAGTAATTTCATCTTCCTGTCCTTATCCCAATTATTTGTTACTCATATTACTTAAGGTTTTGGCTTTTAGTTGTACAATCGGCCAGCATCCTGACATCAACCCTCTAGGAATAATATAATAAAAAAATATGGTCATTATTAGCACTTTGATAATTAAGATAAATAACGTTATTTAAAAAAATCCAATAAGTAGTCTCAGTTAAGTAGAAACATATCACATTATTAATTAAAATATTACAAGGATCAAAATGGTTCATACTAAATCCACACCGATTGCGCTACACGGTTATTTGCGTCTGTGTGCGTGTATTGCTGTGTGTGTGCGTAAATCCATGCGATTAAACCTAAAGTTGAGCGGCATCATTTTGTAATAGTCCTCTTAGCATGCAAAGTCTCAGCCCGATCGGTTTAAAATTGACAAAGTTTCATACAAAATTTCATCCCGTATTTGATCCCATTTGGGGTAGAATCAATCAAAATCCTTTCTTAGCGGATGCCTACGTTATAACATCTACCTGCATGCGAAATTTCAGCCCGATCCGTCCAGTGGTTTGGGCTGTGCGTTGATAGATCACTATGTCAGTCACCATTGAGTTATATATATATATACTAGCTGTCCCGGCAAACGTTGTTTTGCCATATAAATTAATAACGCTATAAAAAATAGGGGTTGATGATAGAAGGGTGAAAATTTAGGATTGTATGTATTTTTGTATGTTGTATCATAAAAAAATAGAAACTAAAAATGTTGTCTAAAAAGTAAAAAAAAAAATTTTGTGGTGGACTACCCCTAACATTTAGGGGATGAAAAATAGATGTTGGCCGATTCTCAGACCTAGTCAATACGCTCACAAAATTTCATGAGAATCGGTCAAGCCGTTTCGGAGGAGTATGGGAACGAAAACTGTGACACGAGAATTTTATATATGAGGTGAAAACTAGACATCGTTTGAACTACGTATGTAATTGGTAACTATATAATTTTATTCATCAAATAAAGAAAAAAATATTCAATAGTCTAACCCAAATAAGGCAAAAACTTTCGTCCCCTATTTTATTTAATAGTAATTATAGTCAGAATCTCAGAACAATTCACACAGCGCCATTTAGTCCCTAGTTAAGCTAGCTAAAGCTTGTGTTATGGGTACTAGATGACTGATACAAATATATGGATATATTTTCAATGAAAACACACAGACTGATACTAACAATTATATTCATAAATACAAATGTTTGTGCCGTGCGAGGAATCGAACCCGCGACCATCGGAAGTAAGGTGGTGTGCTAAACCGCTAGACCACCGAGGTCGTCAAGAGTGAGTATGGGCATGAGTGGGCTACAACCACATAGGATGTGTAGTAGCGTTTCCTCTTCAGTTTGGCAGAATCTGCAGATTTTTATCGTGATAGGCCTAGTTTTGCCATATGCTTGTTTAATTTGCAGTGTCCTGTGAGGGCCTTAGTCGGTAGATGATGAATATTGTTTTGTAACGCCATGTCGTAGATACTATTGTGCAATACAAACAATCCATATTCAAGTACATATAATACAATATTTGTTACAAATTGTTAGAGTCAATTGTTATCTTGTTCTGTACAAATTTATGTTTCAGTAAATACAAAACAATATTTGTTACAAATTATTAGAGCCAATTCCTATATACTAATTCTAAATTTGCTTTAATTTAGGTCTATTACAGACTCTCATGATATGTCAAATCTACCGTCAATTCGGAATGATTTCGAGATGAGAAGAACTGACAAGAAAGTCAGCTCGTATTCTTTTCAAATAAATGTTGTATATATATTTGCTTCACGTACCTAGATACGAAACGTAATATATACATATAAATAAAATTGAGTGTCTGTTTGTAATATTGAAATAACCGATTTTTACTACATGTTTATGAATATAAATACGGTACATATACCAAAAAAAACAATTTTTATGTTTTTGTCTGTCTGTCGGTCTGTTTGTTCCGGCTAATCTCTAAAATGGCTGGACCGATTTTGACTGGACTTTTTTGGCAGGTAGGTGATGTAATAAGGAGTAACTTAGGCTACTTTTATTTTAGAAAAACAAAGTTAAATACCACGCGGTCGCAGTCGCGGGAACAGCTAGTAAGTTATATAATTAAGTTAATTTACTAAACATGTAATTTTTGCGGTAGAAAAAATATCATTGGGCTCTTGAAACTATAGAGCCGTAACATTATTAATCTAAACAGAAAAGTATAAAAAAATGTAGCCATGTCTCGTTTCTTTTAGTCGTAAAATGTTATGAGTACTCACATAAAATCTATCTCTTATTAACTTTAATATTTATAATACCATAAATTATGCAAAGTTGGTCTAAGAAAATTTCTTGAATCATAAATTTAACATTGGGCAATTGGTATTAATGTGAGAGTTGTAAAGTTATTTTATGTTTTGTCTTGAGTGATTAGACATATTTTTGATATAACTGCCCCACAACGATTTCTGTATACCTAAAGGTTAGCTGGTGGAGCCATACAGCAGTAAGCTCGCCTTTGTACATGTTATATTAGAATAGAATAGAATAGAAAATAATTTATTCAAATAAACTTAATTTAAGCACTTTTGATATTGTGCATTAAAGAATAAATGAAATGAAATTAGAGTTGCTTACGGTCAACTATTGGTAGATTTTGACCATAATACATTGAAATTGTCAATTTGGAACGTCAAACACTATACTATATAACATATAATTGGAACACTATACTATATAACATATAATAATAATCTCAGCACAATTCACACAGCGCCATCTAGACCCAAGTTAAGCTAGGTAAAGTTTGTGTTATGGGTACTAGATAACTTATATAAATATTTTTTTCCTTAAATAAATACATATTATAAATAGAAAACAACCAGAACTATGCAATCATACTCATGATTACAAATGTTTACGTGCGAGGAATCGAACCCGCGACCATCGGAAGTAAGGTGGCGTGCTAAACCACTAGACCACCGTGGCTGTCAAATATCAATGTTATTGGAAGTTATGTTTGGTAATGAGTGATAATGGTATGGTGTTAAGATTTAAATAGATAGAAATCAGGGAAACAATAGTGTTTGCATTCAACGACAATAGATGGCGCTGTAACAAAATTGAAACGCGCTAATGTTTCGTTTTATTGATTTCACATATGTTATTTGTAATATTTGTACCTGCCCCTCCGATCGATCCCCCGTCCAATTCAAACGGGGATCAAAATTACGACGGCCTGAGCCGAGGTTCGAACCCCAAGTGGTGCCCTCAGACTAAAGTCGTATCCGTCGGGCAGGAGTTGGCCTTCAGCCGCTCCATAAGTCCTTCCGCGGGTTTGGAGTGCCATCTGCACTCGCCCCATAACGTCCGGTGAAGCTGTAAAGGCCAGCTACGGCCAACAGCATTAGAGTAGTCCGAAAAAAAAAAAAAATTTTGTACCTGTACCTGTTATGTGTGTATGTGTATTATTATTATTATTTTATTATGTTTATTGTATATAAAGGTGTCCGCTAAAAACCAGCGTCGTGGCACCCCGTCACGACATATGCTGAGCGGAGACCTAGTTGGTACTCAAATTATTAACATAAAATGTAAATTAAATTTTAAAAATTATTTTCAGTGTACCAAATAAACAATTTTCTTTCTTTCTTTCTTTCTTTCTTTCTTTCTTTCTTTCTTTCTTTCTTTCTTTCTTTCTTTCTTTCTTTCTTTCTTTCTTTCTTTCTTTCTTTCTTTCTTTCTTTCTTTCTTTCTTTCTTTCTTTCTTTCTTTCTTTCTTTCTTTCTTTCTTTCTTTCTTTCTTTCTTTCTTTCTTTCTTTCTTTCTTTCTTTCTTTCTTTCTTTCTTTCTTTCTTTCTTTCTTTCTTTCTTTCTTTCTTTCTTTCTTTCTTTCTTTCTTTCTTTCTTTCTTTCTTTCTTTCTTTCTTTCTTTCTTTCTTTCTTTCTTTCTTTCTTTCTTTCTTTCTTTCTTTCTTTCTTTCTTTCTTTCTTTCTTTCTTTCTTTCTTTCTTTCTTTCTTTCTTTCTTTCTCTTTCTTTCTTTCTTTCTTTCTTTCTTTCTTTCTTTCTTTTATTTGAAACCGACCAATAAACCTTATATACACGACTGTATTGTTTTGGTTTATAGTACTCTTAGGACCTTGTGGTTTTAACATATGGTACACCACCAAATAGTTTGATCTGATAGAGCACATTGCTAGCAATTAAACTAGCTACCAATACTCGCAATGACTTCCCCTTTTTGCAGTCGGTTAAAAATAGAAAAACTTTTTTCAGAAATTCCGTCCATTTCAACCGTAAATAATAAAGTAGATTTCATTTCCTTGTTCCCTGGGATACACCTTGTTTCCCATTAAGAACCTGCAAAGCGAATGCCATTGAGGGAGCGTTGTTTTTTCAACCGGTTCCTCTATCTGCGGACGTTTTTTGGATGAATGACTAATGTAGTGTCCTTTGAAGTACGGAATTTATTTTTGTATACGTAAATGAACATTATTTTTTTTTATTTCTGAACGATATTCTTGGAAACGTAATTTAAAAACGTTGCTTACTTCGAAAATAGGAATTTTCACTCTCTAAAAGTATAAGGTGTTCTTTTCTTGATTATCAGATTTGAAAATAGAAGATTTAGATATAAACTAATTTATTTATGTGGAACATTCTAGAAATTTACTAACGTGATTTTACGACCCGATTCAAGTACATATATTTGAATTTGGAATGCGTATTATTCCAAATTCAAATATGCATTAGTTTTATGAATAAACTTAGAAATGTAATGTGTTGAAAAAAATGTTCTTTCCTTGATTATCAGATTTGAAAATAGAACATTTAGATATAAACTCATGTATTTATCTGGAACATTCTAGAAATTTACTAACTTGACTGAACGAGACATGTAAACTCTTTTATATTTGAATTTGGAATGCGTGTTATTCCAAATTCAAATATGCATTAATTTTATGAATAAACTTGGAAATGTAATATTACTTTTCTACTTCGCTTTTTAAATGTGTAAGATATTCCTTCCTTGATTATCAGATTTGAAAATAGAATATTTAGAAATAAACTCATCTATTTATGTGGAATATTCTAGAAATTTACTAACGTGATTGTATGATACGATTCAAATATATTTGAATTTGGAATGCGTTTTATTCCAACTTCAAATATGCATTAATTTTATGAATAAACTTGGAAATGTAATATTATTTTCCTATTTCTAATCCCACAGACTGATGATAGGCAGCAGCGTCATCGGTGCGAGAAACTGTGTACTGCGATCACCAACCCGCATGCCCAGCGTGGCAATTATGGGCACATTGCTCCCATGACAGGTCCTCGTGCCTTAGGAGAGGCCTATGTCCAGCAGTGGACTGCAGTGGGCTGATGATGATAATAATAATAATAATCTCAGGACAATTCACACAGCGCCATCTAGTCCCAAGTTAAGCCAGCTAAAGCTTGTGTTACGGGTACTAGATAACTGATACAAGTGCATAGATAATTTTCTTTTCGTAAATACATACACATTATACATAGAAAACACTCAGACTGATACAAACAATCATACTCATGAATACAAATGTTTGTGCCGTGCGAGGAAACCCGCGACCATCGGACGTAAAGCGGTGTGCTAGACCACTGAGGTCGTCAATGATGATGATGATGATGATGATGACTATATTATGTCTATAATCAGACAATGTATACAATCTCACTCTGGTATTCTCATATTCTCATGAGAATATCTATAGTAATTATAAGCTATTAACAATAACAAAGTAACACTGTTAATGTATTTTGTAACTTGAACTCCTAAACTTGATTCTTGAGGGAGGTAGTCTATGGTTTAATGTTCACAACGCATTATCCAAATGTTAAGATGGAATTGGTGAATTATTTTGTAATGGATAAGTAGTTTATGGTTTATCTATGGAATAGATTTATGAATCTGGTGGGCCCTGTCGATGTGCTCCCTCTAATATGGTTGAGTGCAATGATGGGTGGCTCATCCGTCATACTCGTGAATGGATGCTGCTTTTCGGGACTGGTCTGTTCAGGTTACGAACACTGATTAGATTTTTAGCTTTTGCAATAGCATATGCTGGTGGTCACTCTATTCTCCCAAATTTTAATTTAAATGAATCTGTATTATTGGTACAGATACATTAGTTTTTATAAATATATATAGGGAACATCCAGACCCATACAAACAATCATACTCATGAACCAAATGTTACATCATTGGAGGAATCGATTCCGCGGCTATTGGAAATAAAGCGGTCTGCCAAACCCCTGGACTAACGAGATCATCACAAATGATGTATGTACGACCAATGACTCATGGTTATCACATAAATGACCCACGTAATAGACAATAAACTATAGACTATATATAGACCATCGTGAATTTTGGGCAGCCCTGAGGGCTGGCAATTAGGGATGTGACACCGTATAAAAAAATGAGCCTACACTTGAAATATTTCTGTCACCACTCGGCACCCTTCCATTAGTTCACGTCTCTGCATTTACATAACTCTAGTTAAACGGTATCTAACTAAACTAACAGTAGTGATGTGGATCTGAGTTACTTGTCAGTTCTTCTCATCTCGAAGTCACTCCGAACTGACGGTAGATTTGACATATGATAAGAGTCTGTAGACCTACATGAATAAAGATATTATGAATTTTAATTTTAATAGAATCCCCATGACTAAATACCCCCTCCCTTTAATACTCCATTAAAGTGCCTTGAATGAAATGCAAAATGAATTCCGCAATTAAAAAACAATAAGCACCTAATGATGTAATTAAATCAGCAACAATTAAGGAAAAGGCGCAATTTTTTCAACAGAAGGTCAGAAGTTAATGTTAACAAGAAATAGGGGGTTGTAACAAGCAATATTGCTCTAACAACTGGCGCACGCTAGGGCTGTGCCAAAAACAAATGAAGCCATAAATTGATTTTTCCGTAAATTTGTTCTTAATCATTACATAGTATAAAACAAAGTCGCTGTCGCTGTCTGTCCGTCCCTATGTATGCTTACATCTTTAAAACTACACAGCGGATTTTGAAGCGGTTTTTTTTAATAAATAGAGTGATTCAAAATGAAGGTTTATATGTATAATACATGTACACTCGTACGAAGCCGGGGTGAAAAGCTAGTTAATAAAATTTTTAATTTTTTCCTTTTCTTTTTTTGGTAGAAATCAGTAGAAGGTGATAATATACTGCCGTCCCAGAATAAAGGGATGAGGGCAAGGTTGATTGTGATGATTCTTTTTACACGGATCAATAAAACTTTTACGGTCTAATAAAATAAAACATCCATGTTCCAAGAGACCCAAATATAGATTATTTTAAGAAAAAAATACTAGTTTCTAAACGTGGACAAAAAATACGTTTTCGTAAAACTTTAGTCTCTCTAACTTATTTCAGTCGACAAGCAGTATTTTGTACACTATTTTTGATAGTAGTAGGGTTCCATTAGGAGGTGAAATTACAGGTCATTACATCTTTATTTAAATTGTTAACCGGGTCTTAACATGAATAATTTTATGGCAAATAAAAATTACCTCTAGTGCAACTTAGTTCAAACGTCGAGAGAGGTAAATACCTTTATTTGCCATAAAATTATTCGTGTTAAGACCCGGTTAATAATTAAAAAAAAATGTATTATAATAAGATATTATTATGAATGTGACAGCCCTAGCGTGGGCCTGAATTTTATAAATATTTTAACACGCCTGTAATCGTTCTTCGCGTAATTCCCGCCCATAAAAATGGATTATACCCGTTTCCCATTCTGTAAGATGGGATCGTGTCAAAACTCAATAAGATGTTGAGCATTTTTTGATGAAATCAAATCAATATTATTCTTGTACATATTTTATGAATGACTGAATGAATGAATGAAAAACACTTTATTGTTCCTCTCACAGAAAGAATAATTACATAAATTAATATGTACATTAAATATGAAAATAATTATAATATAGAGGTAACAATGGGCGGCCTTATCGCTAAATAGCGATTTCTTCCAGGCAACCTTAGGATGGAGAGGAGTGATTAGACTGTATCTGGTCGAGGTATAACAATTAGTTGTTGGATGTACAATTTACATATCATATACACATACATATAACTACATAATAATCATTATATATAAAATATACATACACACATATATATACATACATATATACATACAAATAAATTAAATAATATCTATACAATAGCGACGTTACTATGCAGATAAGTTTCGTGAATAATATTTTTTAACGCTCGAAATTTTATATAGTCTATTATAAAACCTATATATGATGTATAGGAATTATCCTATACATCATATCTTATTTAATACTAGCTACTCGCCCCGGCTTCGCCCGGGTGTACATGTATTATACATATAAACCTTCCTCTTGAATCACTCTATCTATTAAAAAACGCTTCAAAATCCGTTGCGTAGTTTTAAAGATTTAAGCATACATAGAGACTGACAGACAGCGACAGCGACTTTATTTTATACTATGTCATAATAATGACTAGTTGTGCTCGCGGTTTCACTTGCATGAAATTTATAACCCATATATTATTCTGACGTATAAGCTTTTTTGACCTCGGTGGTCTAGCGGTCTAGCACACCGTCTGACTTTCGATGGTCACGGGTTCGATTCCTCGCACGGTACAAACATTTGTATTCATGAGTATGATTGTTTGTTTCTGTCTTGGTGTTTACTATGTATAATATGTATGTATTTACAAAAAAATCTACATATTTATATCATATTATCTAGTGTTCATAACACAAGGTTTAGCTAGCTTAACTTGGGTCTAGATGGCGCTGTGTGAATTGTCCTGAGATTATTGTTATATTACATATTATTATTATTTGCACTATTGTCGCATTTTCTCAACTCTTGCCGGTTTTTTGCCACTTTATTATTATTATTATTCTTTATTTTTTCTCTGCTTTTTCTACTTTTCTCCATACCTATTATTTTTTTTTTACCAAATTTCTCATCTCCCCTCTTAAGGAGAGGAGATGGCAACATACCCCCGGCAGAAGCACAGTCGGCCGGAGTTCAGGGCCCCAGGGAGAGAAACCGGCGTACAATGCGGGCAGAATCTAACAGCACCGCTTTCTGCATCTTTCCCGGGAGTGAACCGCCCCGGAATCCCAACCGTCTGAGATGTTGTTCCAGACTGGTTGGGATAAGACCGTTCACCGACATAACGATTGGAATGATTTCGGTGGACATCACCCCCCACATTTCGGTCACCTCGTGAGCCAGGTCGAGATACTTTCTCTTTTTCTCAGTTTCGGCTTTCACGAGGTTCTCGTCGTGCGGTATGGTGATGTCCACCAAAAACACCCTCGAAAGTGCCCGATCCATCACCACGATATCAGGTTTGTTCGCAAGAACGGTCCTGTCCGTGATGATGGATCGGTCCCAGTAGAGCTTGACGCTGTCGCTTTCGAGGACCGGCTGGGGCTCGTACTTATAGTACGGCAACCTCTCATTCGCGAGGCCGTACTTCAGAGCTAGTTCTTGATGGAGTATTTTGGCTACCTGGTTATGTCTGTGCAAGTACTCAGTGTTGGCAAGAGCTGAACAACCCGAAAGCACATGTCTGAGTGACTCTCCGGGATGGCGACATGCCCGACAGATGTCCTCAGTGCCATCCTTCAGAATGTGCTTTCGGTAATTGTTCGTCTTAACCACCTGATCCTGTATTGCACAGACAAAACCCTCGGTCTCTCCGAAGAGATCACCGAACTGTAGCCAGTGCACGGAGGTCTTCGTGTTGACGTACGGCCCGTGTAGGGCTTTGAAGAACCTTCCGTGCAACTCCTTCTCTTTCCATACGGCCTCCCGCTGAGAGGTACCCAGGACTTCGGGTTTTCGCCAGTCCTCTTTAGCCAGAGAAAGAGGGGTGAATCCTTTGTCACATTCTATGACCTCTCTATGCAAACCCTCGTCTCTTTTCTTCAGAAAATATGTCCTGAGACTGTCAATCTCGCGGTTGTGCATGGTCTTAACGCTTAACAAGCCTCGACCACCAGCCTTCCGCGGGATGTACAGCCTCATGACTGACGATTTCGGGTGATGCATTCTATGGAGGGTCATAGTTGTGCGGACTTTTCGATCCAGGGCTTCGAGTTCGGTTTGAGACCATCTGAGCACGCCAAAAGTGTAAAGGAGTACGGGTATGACCCAGCCGTTATATGCTCGGATCTTATTGGCACCCGACAAGGAACTTTTCAGTACTCTTGTAAGGCGCGCAAAAAATTCCTCACGGACTGACTGTTTCATATCCGTCTCCCTCACACCGATGTTTTGTGACATGCCCAGATACCGGTATGTTTCAGCCTCGGAGAGGGTTTTGATGTTGGAGGGATCTGTAACGATCCCTTCAGTTTGATTGACCCGTCCCCTCTGCACATGGAGAACCGCGCACTTGTCTATTCCGAGTGCCATCCTAACAGAGCTGCTATAATCGTTTACAATATTTAACAGCTCCGTCAGGCGTTCGACACTCGGAGCTAGTAGTTTCAAGTCATCCATGTACAGAAGGTGAGACACTCGTGTATCTCCTCTCCGATACTGAAATCCAGTCCCCGAATTCTCCAGTAAAGTACTGAGAGGATTCAGGGACAGGCAAAACCAAAGTGGACTCAAACAATCGCCCTGGAATATTCCCCTCTTAATCTCAATCCGGTCAGCGGTATCCGTTAATCGCTCGCCCTGGATAGTCAGGATCGTCGTCCATTGCCCCATGCATGTCTCCAGGAACACCCGAACCGTACCGTCGATCTTGTACAGCTCGAGTATCCTCCGAAGCCATGAGTGTGGCACGGAATCGAACGCCTTTTTATAGTCTATCCAAGCAGCGGAGAAATTCCGACGGTTCCGCTTAACCACTTGGCCAGCGACAGCATCAATGAGGAGAAGCTCCTTCGATCCGCGGCTACCGCCCCTGCATCCGTTCTGAGCGCTAGATAGGATCTTGTTTTCGTACACATGACGAGAGATCTTAGCGCTCAGAACGGATGTTAACGTCTTATATATTGTCGTAAGACAAGTTATGGGGCGATATTTAGATGGATCCGCGGTATCGTCCGTCTTAGGAGCTAAATGAGTGATCCCGGTTGTAAGGAAGTTCGGGAGCGCCCTGTTTTCGAGGGCACTCTGGAATTGCCAAGGCTAAGGTCACATGGCTGGCCGAGAACGCCTTTAACCAGTAGTGCTGCAATCCGTCGATTCCCGGACTTTTCCAGTTCGGAGCCCGACAGATCGCAGCAACCACGTCTTCCTCCGTAATGGTAATGACGTTCATCGGCGTTATTCGAGCACATGCTTCCTCAACACCGTGCATCCATGCGCCCTCCTCATGTTCCACAGGTTCAGACCACAGCTGGCGCCAGAAGGCGACGAAATTGGCTGTCTCGGGTCTTTGTCCTGTGGGCTGTAGTTTTGGGCGCTCCAAGTTTCTATAAAACTTCCGTTGATCACTCGTAAAGAGACGATTCTGTTGATACCTCTCGACCCTCTCAGAGTACCGTCGGAGTCGCTTCCCCCATGCAGCGACCTTTTGCTTCAGGTCATCTATACGCTCCGTAAGTTTTTGTCCGAAGTCCGGCTGGAACAGACGTACACCTGTCCCAGCAAAGGCCTTTTTTACGGAGCGCATAATTCTCGGGCGTGTATTGCCCTCCCTGAAGCAGAGCAGTCTGCCAATGAGGACCCTGGCCTGGGTGATCCGTCGCTCAATCCTTCTTTTCCAGGCTGGTTTCGCATTATCCCTTTGGATATTACGTCCAGCCCGGGGCATTTTTGCGCCGGTATATCGGCATACTGCCAACGCAGCGCCAAACAGGATTGAACTCGTCTCTCCCAGGTCACCGCTGCCCTCAAGGTATTGAGGCAGCAGTCCATTTGCGGCCTCAATGGCATCCCGCGTCGCCACATTTGGATGTATCCGGGGCAGCTTCGGTCTCTCTTCGAGGGGAGTTCTTCGGATCTCTAGAATCGCCTCTTCTAGTATGCTCCTCATATGCTCTATATCCTGGGAAGTTGTTCCGTCCGCATCCGCTTCTGAAGGCCTTTCGGCAACCATCTCTACGTTAGGTAGCACGTCTGAGATGGGTTGCTCCATGGTCGTGGGGTCTGCTTCTGGAACAACTTCACTTCGCAATCGTTCGAGTTCGGTCGCGCTAAACATACCAGAGCGCTGTATGTACCGAACTCTATCGGCTAGGTTCTGTTCCGAGACGATTAGCTCCGGTAAAAGACGCAGAAACTCGCGGTGCATTACTGCCCTGTATCCTGTTCTGCCTGTTTCTGTCCCTGTAGCCCTGTAGAACGCTCGCATGAGGTCTTCGTTCATGGCTCTCGACCATCTCATGCGACGTGTACCACCAGTGGCGGGCGCCGATTGCTGGGCTGTGACGGCCCTGCCGGTGCCAAGCCAGCTGATGTCGATGGCAAGGGGTCGGACCGGCCAGGTGGTGGGGCCGGTCGGCTGGCTTGCATTCTGTCACGCCTACCGCCAGTTGTAGACGTGCCCCGGCGGCCCCCGGGCAGCGACCCTATTTCGTTCTCTTTATTTTTACTCGCCATCTTTATAATTGCCATGGCCCCTTTGGCCGCATAGGTTTTATATTTACGCGTGACCGCCTTTCACGTGAGCTAGATGGTCAGCTCGGACGCGGGGTTGGACTTTGAAAGGCTTATTATTATTATTGTTATTCTTTATTTTTTCTCAGCTATTGCTGGTTTTCTCCACACTTACGGCCGAAACCAAGTAAGTGCAGAGTGTGTGTATGTGTGTGTGCGCGTGTATGTATGTGTGAGTGTGTGTGTACTTATTGTGTGCCTGGTGTGACTGGTGTTATATCATTTTCATCGATTTCGAGAAATTTTCGGACTGTACGACAAGTATTTAAGATGGCAGCTTTTTGAAGGGTGATGTAAAGTGTTTTTTGTATATCTAATTGTTTCAGGCTATGATGTAGGTGTTTGGGTATGATACCTATAGATGAGAGGACTATGGCTATTATATAAACTTTTTCCTGTTTTCAAATTCTTGTTACTTCTTCTTTTAGCTCTGCATATTTGTTTATTTTTTCAGCAATTGTCTTCTGGAGATTGTGGGTATTAGGAACTGCAATATCTATGAGGTAGGTTTTTTTATTTACTTTATTATTATTATTATTATATTATTACGCTATATTACTATAAAGTTTCGTCAAAATCCGTTTAGTAGTTTTTGCGTGAAAGAGTAACAAACATCCATCCATACTCACAAACTTTCACGTTTATAATATTAATACAATATACTTCAAATAAGAATATTTTACAATGCACCTGAAATGCGAAAGTTGAGGTGGATGTGTGGTGTGACAAGAATGGATAACATAAAGAATTCATACATTAGAAGAGGTATGAAAGTGGCGAGAATTAAGGAAAGAAGAAGAAAGAAGAGGTATGAAAGTTGCGGTGTCGGACGGTCAGTTCAGTACTGTAGGTAAGGGAGGGGAACAGAAACCGCGGGCACATAAACTAACGGACTCTAATATAATAATCTGTGCTTACGATGTTACAGGGTAGATTTTTAACAAAGATAATATTTTAAGGAAGGTGTTACATATGAATGTGGATGGTTATAAGGGCAGAGGAAGGCTGAAAAAGAGATGGATGGACTGTGTGAAAGATGATATGGTAAGAAAGGAAGTAAATAACGAGATGACTGCGAACAGGTATGAATGGAAGAGAAAAACATATTACGACGACAAATAAATGGGATAAGGAAGAAGCAAATGAAGAATATTTTACGAATGCGTCTTATAATTAGGCTTATGTTTTTTTACCAAAGTGAACTAGATAATAATAATAAGAGCCAGAATAATGAGAGAGAAGAGAGATAAGAATAATGTTGATTGTCGCATGCCTAATCCTTGTTAATGTAAATCTTAAAACAACATTTATTTAAAAGAGCAACACACAAGTTTCTTGTTTATTCTTCTTGTCTCTCTTGATAAGTATGCGTTCCGAATGTGTGGTAGGATAAAAAAATGTGACTTCAAAAGTACTTATATTAAGTTTATTTGTATTTCTATTTCTATTTCTAAATTACATAACACACTCTAGTCACAGTTATGGGTATGGTCCGTGTTATGGGTACTAGACAACAGATATAAATACATTTTTTTGTAAATACATACATAAAATAAATAGAAAACACACAGAGCAATACAAGCAACCATACTCATGAATACAAATGTTTGTGTCGTGCGAGAAATCGAATCCACGATATTCGGTAGTACTGAATAGCCGAGGCCGTTAAATATATATTTTACTAGCTGTCCCCGCGACTTCGTCCGCGTAGAATTTAACTTTATTTATCTAAAATAACAGTAGCCTAAGTTACTCCTTATTACAACAGCTACCTGTCAAAAAAGTCCCGTCAAAATCGGTCCAGCCATTTCAGAGATTAGCCGGAACAAACAGATTAGCAGACTGAGAACAAATTGTAAAAAATGTTCTTTTGGTGTATGTACCGTATTTATATTCATATGCATTAAAAATGTATGTTTGTATGTATGTATTAAAAAACTGTTATTTCCATATTATAAACAGGCACACCAATTTTACTTATATGTACAGATAAACTGGTCTTAAAAAATATTCAAATGAGTTTCTTGCCAGTTCTTCTCAATTGAATCTATATACTGAACTGGACAATAGGGAAAAATTTATTATATAAAAAATTTTACGTTCACAAGCGGCTAAAATGTCCTACATGAATAAATGATTTTTGAATTTGCTGTCCTGCTTTTTAGCTCATCATCATCATCATCAGCAGCCCACTGCAATCCACTGCTGGACATAGGCCTCTCCCAAGGCACGCCACTGGGCACGATCTTCAGCCCTTCTCATCCAGTTACTACCCGCAACCTTACGTATGTCGTCACTCCACCTAGCTGCGGGGCGTCCTACACTACGTTTGTCAATTCGCGGTCTCCACTCTAGAACTTGTCTACTCCAGCGAGGATTAGTTCTGCGACAGATATGACCAGCCCATTGCCACTTCAACTTACAGATGCGAAGAGTTATTTCGGTGACCTTAGCATTTTAGCACACAGTCCTATAATTTTAATGGTCAGCTATTAGGAGGGCAGGGTAGGTTAGTAATGTGACCTCATGCCCACATTATTAGCAATGTACCATGTCATTGGTAACCAACGTCTATGTGACAGACTCGACCCATTGGCTTAGCGGCGTGATATTGCATCTCTGTGCATTTTCTACCGCATATATCACGGGGAGTGTTCTGAGGAATTGTTCGGATTAATACCAGCTAGCCGAGTTTCACCACCGTACCACCCGCCAGAAACTGAAATACCATCCTGATCATCTGGATGAATGGCGGTCTTCCACAGTGCGGTTTTCTAGAAACTTTTTGCCCCGCACAACCACATTGTGGAATCACCTTCCAGCAATGGTATTTCCGAACCGATACGATATTGAAACCTTCAAGAAAAGAGCTTATTCCTTTTTAAAAGGCCGACAACGTACTTGCAATTCCCCTGGTGTTGCGGGTGCTCATGGGCGGTGGTAATCACTTACCATCAGGTGAGGGCATGCTCGTTTGTCCCCTGTGTTATAAAAAAAATGTCAGGTTGACCTCCACGCGGTTCCTCCTGAAAACCATCGTGGTAAATTTTTGGTGAATTTGTCACGATGGGCTAACTGGCCTGACTCATGCTCATCTTATCATTCTCCACTGGTGTCCCGCCAGTGTTAACCGTTAGCGCAGGCGGGTCCACCATTACATTATCATCCTTAAAAAAAATAGTCAGCTAGTCGAGATTTCGAAGACAGTAAGACGTCCACTTCTAAACAAAGATCTCCCCCAAGGATCTCCACGACGATCGGTCCTGCGTTGCTCGCATCCAATGCCTTCCAGCGATCTTGACCAGATCGTCGGTCCACCTTGCTGGAGGCTTTCCCACGCTGCGTCTTCCGGTCCGCGGTCCACTCGAGGACTTTACTGCCCCAACGGCCTTCTGTCCTACGAGCTATGTGCCCTGCCCATTGCCACTTCAGTTTCGCAATTCTTCGGCTGTCTTTCGTATTCTTTCTCTATCTTCGTCGTCGTATCAGCTGTTGTTGTTTTTTTTTTTTAATATATATATAAAATGTAATATTTAAGTCGGTTTAAACTTAATGCCCCAAATAAACATTATTATAGCAATCAAATTATCACAAATAGCCAAAAAAATAATGTTAATCTTAATTTATTGTTGGCGAGCATACGTCATCCTCCCCTCTCCACCCTCCCCTCCTCTTCCTCCCCCCGGTCCGTTCCGGTACGTTTTTTACCGTCCAGGATTACGGTAGAGGGGACGCGATATTAAAATATCACCGGTAAATAACGCGACGATTACGCCAAAAGCTTTTTAACGGCTCGGCGTATGGTACAAGTAGCACAGACTTTTAAATATACATACTAATATTGTACATTCGAAAGTCTGTCTGTTTACCATGTCATGAACGGCTGGACTGAGAATAGAAAATCATTTATTCAAATAAACTTAATTTAAGCACTTTTGAATAGTCATAACAATTTTTTTTATCTACCGCTCGTTCGGGAAGCTGTCTCATCACAAGACGAACGAGCAAGAAACTTGTGTGTTGCTCTTTAAATAATCCTTGTAAGTTTACATTTACAAGTCGAAACGTGTGAATACAAACTACCAACCAGCACTAATTTTTTTGGGTCAAATATAAATATACAATAAGATTAAATAAAATGAGATAAAAGAGAAAAACCGCTTAACTTGCAATGATAGCGGGTTCGATTCTTTGCAACCTACAAACATTTGTATTAAGCATGTCAAACCTTCCTCTTGGATCACTCTATCTATTTAAAAAAATCACAAAATCCGTTGCGTAGTTTTAAAGATCATACATAGGGACAGACAGACAGCGACAGCGACTTTGTTTTATACTATGTAGTGATTATTATTATAAACGAGAAAGTATGTAAGTACGGATATATATTTGTTACTCTTTCACACAAAAACTACTGAACAGATTTTGATGAAACTTTACACTAATATAGCTTAAACACCAGAATAACACGTAGGCTATAAATTTCATGCGAGCAAAACCGCGGGCAGAGCTAGTCTTAACATATATGAATTATGAGTACAAGCCTAAAAGAGTACAAGATATACTCATAAAATGCATGTGATTTTATATATTATTAGGAAAGGCTTCCCCCGTCCGTCCCCACCCCGCAACCCTCATCTGACCGCCTTCTGAACCAACAGACATTATTCAAGTGGAAGCGAAATTATACCAGATTATTCATTCCAATGT